AAGAAAAAAACATGACAGTCAGACAGCTTTGCAACCTCAAAATATAATATTCTGACAATTAATTAGGCATTCCAACGACCTGTCCAAATGGCTACCAGTGGGTAATGACAGTTTAGATATGGCAACCCTGTTGTCAAGTTGTCATTAACAGGGTCAATGATACATATATAGTTATATAGATTGCTCAAAGCTGGTCGTTTTCGAGCGGCCATATTGCCTGGCAAATATTTATTAATTTGAATCGGTTTAGCAAAAACGTGTTTTAAAACCAATTATTAGCCTTTAGACATTTAAAAAAAATAATTGCTTACATTTTTACTTCAAGGCATAAGCTTATGTTTATTTTGAAAAAAATGGATGATCAATCTATGTAACTATCTATTTCATTGACCTTGTCAAATCACCAGGCCTACAGGGTTGCCATAATTTTGCCATATCATAATCCGTCAAAACCCACTGGTAGCCATTCAGTTTGGAATGCCTAATTCATAGAATTTTTCAGTTTTGACGCAAGATATTTCTATAGCAAAAGTGTCCTCTTCAGGACGCGCTTCACCTCTTCTCACCTGACGTCGAATCCCAAAAAAACTCTTATTTTAAACACAATCAAAATAAAACTAACCAACAAGTTGGTTTTAAGAGTTCTTGAAATGTAGCATTAAAGATAAAATTACGAATAAAATGATGGTTATCACATAATGAGTTCATTATCAACATTATGTTATCCATTAAGTGGTTTCAAAACCACAATGTCTGTCCTGTTACGATTATTACGATTTTGATTTATATATTCTGCTTGTTCAGAAATATTTTTACATTTTTGTTTTCTTTTTACTATTTTTTGTATGTTTATCAAGAGCGAAAAATTATTAAAGGTACATTTTAGGATAAATATTACAATTTGCCTATGCCTATTTGTATTTTAATTCTTGTAAAAATATTATATTAAGTATAAAATCCTTATAATTTCAAACTCTGAGAACGGGATAATATAAACGTGTGTTGTGTGAATGTGTACAGTGATACAGGGTGGAAGCCGAATGCATGAAAACTTTTGACTAGTCGGATAAGTTTCATTTTAAGCAAATAAGGTAAAGAAATACTTTATGGACGAACAAAACCTATACTATAGTCTTAATGCTCGATTACCGTTACATGATGCTCTAATATACAGATCTAGCTTCTAGAACTGTGCTATAATACGATTCATTTTAAGTTTTCGGTTTCTCTTGCTATGAAATTTGAGCTATTCTCGAATTAAATTAGAATGTTATAATTCTGGACAGACTTTAAGTAAAAAAGATAAACAACAGTAGTTATTCAATTACAATTTAAATTTTAACACGAAACCGTCGTGAATATCAATAACAGTGCAGTACGAGCTTCCGGTATCAAATCAAACGTCCAAGCAGAGAAATGGAAAGAACGCAGATCGGTGGTCAATTTGTATAAACTGTGTCTGGAGAGTGGCGTATCTGTTGGAAAACAGGCGTTGTAAACATGGTGCACACGGGGTTGATTTAATGCGAATCCAGTGTTGAGTAATGTCCCGCCGATACACAGTCGAAGATACGGCGTCGTCTCTCTATTTACCAGGCTAACCAGATTCAGCTGTAGGGATTCCAGAACGACGGCGACGGCCTTCGGGCAGGAAATGAGACTCTGGACGCAATCGCTTTTACTTATCTGCATAGAATATAACCGGGCCGCTGCTTCTGCTTTCAATTTATTTTAATAAATCTGAGGAAATACATCAGCGCATCAGCCAATCCAAGCACAACCTGATAAGCTATTGGGGTGGTATGAGAGGCGGCCGTTGATGGTATTTCGGTGTAGTGATCCCATCGGCGGCTCCAGCTTCGTAAAGTGAATACGAGCATTTTCTACACTTCAGATAGTTTATTTACCTGCTGCGACTAATGGAAAATGATACGGTCTTTGTTTTGGTTCCGTTTGTTTACGATTTGAATCTTTTCGCGGTTCGCGATAATGGAAATATTTGAAAATAAATTTCATGGTATCCTTTATTGAAAACTTTCTTTTTACTAATAAAAACAGTAAATACTAAAAGATTATTTTCTGTGACCTATTACAATATTAGGGGAAAGGGGAGGAATGGTGGCCTAAGCATTTTTATTTACTTATACTAATAGTAATAATAATAATAATAATAATAATAATAATAATAATAATAATAATAATAATAATAATAATAATAATAATAATAATAATAATAATAATAATAATAATAATAATAATAATAATAATAATAATAATAATAATAATAATAATAATAATAAAAATACAATAAAATACAATAATAAAAAAAACAATGAACAAACAATTTATAATCACAGAAGCTGTAAGTGCGCTGACTTACACCTTGTAAGTGATATACGAATATGCTCATACATTAGACATACATAAGAGTATCGACGATAACAGGTAAGTTAATTTTTATGATCAAATAATGTCACAATAGGGATTTCGTTTCTATAAAAAATTATTTTATAATAATATTAATAACAACAACAACAATAATAATAATAATAATAGAACTGAATGGTCAGAAAACTTATATGCCAGGATTTAAATAACAGGTCATCAAGAACCAGAGCCCTGCTTGGAGAAGACATCTGGAACAAGACATTGACAAACTTTGAGCAAAAGAAGATATTATAGGTGAATACTTAAAGAATAATCGGTCAAAGAAAATCATTAAGAAAGTAAGTTGGTTGAGATATAAGAACACAAAATTATGAAAAACACTGCTTAAAACTAGAGGTCGAAGACAGATGCAGAAAATGCGGATCAGTGGGTGAAACCATTGAACACATAATAGCAGGATGTCGGTACCTAGCAGACAACTTATACATATAGGCATGCCCTTTGGGCTTGATAAATGTGCCATCATTAACATTAAAAAGGGCAAAGTAGAAAACCAAGAAGCGTCATTCAATAATATTGAAAATCTGCCACCAGGTGAAACTTATAAGTACTTGGGAACACCACAAAACCAGCGTATAGATCACATGCAACTTAAAAAAGTATTCACGGAAAAATACAAAAAGAGTACTGAAAATTTTAAATACAAAGCTGGCTGCGAAGAATCAGATTGTTGCCATAAATTCATGGGCAGTACCTGTCCTGACTTACACATTTGGCATCCTGAAATGGTCCGATGCTGATCTAAATGAGCTTGATCGCCTAACTCGACGTCTAATGACCAAATTCCGATGTCTACACCCTAATGCATCAGTCAAGAGAATATATCTCCCCCGAAGGAACAGTGACCGAGGAATAATGAACATTTATAAACTACACAGGAGGTAAAACTAAGACAGCGATGCTTGAGTCGGAAGATAGTCTAATGAGGTTAGCTACCCAAGAAGACCGAGGGTATACACCTCTAAACTTACAGCACCATCAACTTTTGTTTGATATAAGCACAAGACAAGAAGAACAAGAAACATGGACGGAACGAGCCTTGCACGGAAAATTTCCAAAGAGTCTGGAGTTAGAGAACATCGATAAGACACCATCACTGGCTTGGCTTGACGCTTGTTATCTATATCCGGAAACAGAAGGATTCATAATGGCTATTCAGGACAGAGTTATGAGAACACGAAATTATGAGAAACACTGCTTAAAACTAGAGGTCGAAGACAGATGCAGAAAATCCGGTTCAGTGGGTGAAACTATTGAACACATAATAGCAGGATGTCGGTACCTAGCAGACAACGTATACCTAGGACGTCACAACCAAGTTGCCAAGATCATCCACCAACAACTTGCTTTAAACAACGGTCTTCTGAGCTCATGCCCACCTTACTATAAATATCAGCCCGCAGCTGTTCTGGAATCAAAAGGTGCTGTATTGGGATAGGCCACATACTTTGATTTTCTTTTACTATACGGAGAATGGTCACACTGCGCAGCTTTCTGAGTGCCTTTTAAAAGGAGATAGAAAACTCCGCCATTTTGAACCCTTATTACGTGTTGCCTTCATCTTGGCGCAATATTTTTAATAGGTGCGTTTTAATCATCCGCTTCTGCTTCAGAATTGTCGGTTTTCTTGTTTTAATCTGACAGGTTAAAACGACTAAACCGATAATTCCGGAAGCAGAAGCGGATGATTAAAACGCACCTCATATTTTGCTTGCTGCTGTCAGTGTCAGTGAATATTATTTTTGAAGTCACAGTTTATTGCTAAAGAATCAGTTAGCTCACTCGGACCAGTTGAAAGTTCTAAAATAACATCCACTCCAGGGATACAAATTCAGGATACGCAGAAGACTGCTGTTTTATTATAGGCGGTTGTCATATATTGTATTATCCGAGTTACACAGTGTATAAACTGAAACATTGAGATCAAAAGTGCCGACGCAGAGTGAGCGATCTGATTCTTTAGCTGTAAACTGTGTCACAGGGTTCAAAATGGCCGCGCCCTATGTTGGGCGTGTCGGACCTCTCTCTTGCCTCGTATAGTAATCAAAGTATGTGATATAGGCCGATAACAACGGACAGGACAGTCGACCACAATAGACCAGACATCGTCATTATTGATAAAAAAAAGAAAACAGGATTGATCATCGATACAGCTGTACCACTGTCATACAACGTCACTAAAACCGAGACCGAGAAGATCAGGAAATATGAAAATCTGTCATATGAATTAAAGAACATCTGGAAACTAGATGAAGCCTCCATAGTTCCACTGGTAATGTCAGCGGAGGGAATTGTATCGAAACACTTTACTGAAAATCTCTAAGATATAGGATTATCAAAAAACATAGTGACATATGCACAGAAAGCAGTCATTTTGCAAACCTGTCACATCGTTCGCAGGTTCTTAAACGGAACCTAAGTGGGACAAACTGAATTGTTTCCCTGCTAGGTTGTCCGAGCCCATACATATTGTATAGCGAAAATTTATACCAGCATGTGCTGAGAACACGAAAATAATAATAATAATAATTAATAATAATAATAAACTGCCTATGATCACAAAAGTCGGAAAGCCAAGGAAGCGTATGAAATGGACAAATGAAATTAATTCTTTTATTATGCGCTCCTATTATGAAATAACCAAACTGGAAAATGATCTAACTGTATACAGGTACGCCCTCCACCGAGCATTTACTGAGAAATACCCCGATCTGCAGCATCTAACAGAACAACGCATAGCTGATCAACGTAGAACAATAATTAAAAATACATTAATTCCTTTACCAGCTCTGCAGCAGGTAGGAAGGTACGACTGATAAGAGAAGTGCCGAAGAACAATGCAATGGAGAAAACGATGGCGAAGACGGAGAAGTTACTGAACAAGACAATATTACCGAGCAGGACTATAACACTCCACCAAGTATTGTTGAAAGTGCTATAACTGAAGTTCGACGGCACGAATCCAATATGCAGGCTAAAACTCCCCAAACTAAGGATAAATAAGAACACGAATAACATAATCGCATCCATTAACATAGTTTTGCAACATTTTGTCAAAGATTCTGATATATTAGAACGGCTACATTCTCTTATATACTGTGGAGCTGTAGCAGTGCTCCGTAGCCACAATCAGCAAGTACAGTACCTCAAAAACTTACGAAATACTGACCACAGTAATGTAAAGCTATGGTGGCAGCGAAGGCTGGAGAATGCGATAGAGGATATCAGAAGGGAACTTGCACAACTTAACGCATTTCAACAAAATTCGAACCCTTCTAAGCGCTTGAGTAACAAAGTAAAAAAAATCTTTCGAAAAATAGACATCCATAGGGGTAACCCTCATTATCATCAAGACGTACGTGAATATACTGACTTACTTAAGCAAAAGTTAAAGACAAAAGCGAAGCGATTATCAAAATGTACGAAAAAAAAAAAGTAACAACAATCTATTTAACAACAGCCAGAAGCTATTTTACAGGTAACTAGAAGCATCAGCAACTCACAAATGCGATAACCTGTCGAGAAAAAAAGATCTGGCAAAGTACTGGTCCTCGCTATGGTCTAGCCCAACAGAGCACAAACCAAACGCTCATTGGATAAGAACAGAACGGGAAAAGGTTAATATCCAGCCAATGCCCCGTGAAGAGATAACCAGTTAAGAAGTTAGTGAAGTCATAAAAGGGACAGATAATTAAGTTGATAATATCCAAAACTTCTGGTATAAGAAATTTCACTGCCTGCATAAGTTTATGGCAAAACAATTTTCACATATTTTACTGCATCCAGATGACACACCAACGTTCCTTACACTAGGTTCCACATATATGCTGCCAAAAAGTGCCCAAACAGAAGACCCCACCCAATATAGACCAAATACCTGTCTACAGACTCTTTACAAAATACTAACAGGGTGCATAACTAATCGTATTTACCGATACGTCGATCAAAACAACGTTCGGGCAGAAGAGCAAAAAGGATGTAGGCGGAAACATTAGGGATGTAAAGAACAACTGTCTATATATACTATCACTCTAAAGCAGGCACAAAAGGAACAGCGAAATATATATAAACTGCTTTTGTAGATTACAAAAAGGCCTCCGACTGTGTCCCACACTCTTGGCTAATTGAAGTCTTAAAGATCTACAAAATCAAAGTAGATAAAATAATCAGCTATTCGTATTACAAATTTTGAATTACACTGTATAAATAAATTTTCAAATAAAGAAAAGAACTGGACTTAAAATTGAATTCTGCAATAAAACATTTCTTTTTAAAAACTGCTTTCCCTGATTTATTACTTTATAAAGAAAATGTGAAGCCAATTTAAAAAATCGCCACCGTGAAATCTTTGATAGGCGAGCTTAGATTCCAACGTTAAAATATTTTCAACAAATACCCAGTTACCAGCGTTTGAATAAAAGTAGTAAATGGCTTTAAAAAAATGAAAAGTTGCGTGTCAGTTCTGAGTATTAACATAAATTTGATAAGCGATATGTGATAAAGTCTATAAGTGTATCGCAATCTGGAATAAGTATCTCTAGGTAGGTAACTTTTTCGAAACGTAAAAGCAAAATGGACGACGAGTCTGGCTTTAGAGATATGAAGCGATAGTGGCAAGGACAGTCCGGTATTTAATCTTTCGCTTTAATGGTATAAATTATTCATTTTGATAAGTAAATAGGTAAAACTCATTCCATAATCACTTCCAGTGATAAATCTACTACAGGGTGTTCAACATATACAACAAATAACCGTTTAATAACCAGTAATAAATCGTCTCTGGCTCAAAGCGATTAAATGTAGTAAACGAGTACACATCTTTCTATTAGATTTTATACTTACGAGGGGGTTTAGTTTCGAAAAGAGTATGATAAATTCTGACATTCAATAATGTTTGTTACATTTGGTATGAAAAGTTGGGCGTTAGATGCATTGATGTTACATTACTTGATGGACGGTAGCAAACCTTAATTTCTTCTTTTTGTTGACACCCTTTGTCCTCTAAAAAGAAATATGTCAACTACCCTCATTATCTGACGGTATTTATAAAGTTACAGCTTTGGTAACTAGTTAAAATGCCTACTGCCCATTTGGTTCAGCGCATAGATAAATATTGGGTACCAAATTTTAGCTGCTTCGATGACAAATGAAGCAACAATATGCCGTTTTATATTACACACCTTGTTAATACCACATTCTTATTCTTAACCAGTTTTGTTTCTTTTGCTATTTCTCAGACTTATGTTAGGACCAACTAGACCAAAAAAAAATAAGTTAGTTTTACTAGCGAACAAATCAGCAATGTGTTTGCGTTTTGTTACATTTTATTAAGACCACATTATTATTGGAACTGTTACCCAATCAATTGTGTTACTACTGTTATTGTTAGACCTATGTAGAGACAAAAAAATCAGCCTAGTTTTTCTAGCAAACGAATCAGAATGATGGTTGCGTTTTTGCCTTCTTCTGGCTTTTGCTACAACTCATTACAACCAATACTTATGGAAGTGTCGCTTAAACAATTGAGCCGTTTATTTTGAAAGTGGCCTAAGTCCATTTACACTTAAATTGAGATATCTAAGAGTTTGAGTAAATTTTGTTTAACTGCATTTATTAAACGTACTGATTATACAACTAATTGTCCCAAAAATTAAGGTTAGCATGTTAAAAACTAATTAATTAAAATTACCTTCATCACTGCCTTCGGACATTATCGATAATGAATATCTTGATTTAAGTATAAATGGACTTAGGCCACTTTCAAAATAAACAGCTCAATTATATTATTACTGTTATTTAGACATATATTGACACCAAAAAAGATTCACTTAATTTTTGCAGCAAGTGAATCAGCAATCTGGTTGAGCTTTCTTTTGTTGTTGTCCTTTTGGTACACCTCATTAAAAGCACACTGTTATTGCTTGATCAATTATATTACTACTGGTATTGTCAGATCTATGCTGGGTCAAAAAAAATCAACTTAGCGTCTTACTACGCCCATTGCTGCACCTCATTCAGAGTTCATTCTAATTTGATGCTTTTACTATGGCTCGGTGATATTGTAATATTATTTTTTTCTAGGGACCTTCCTAGGGCTAGTAGTATTTACTGAATATAGGTACATTTTTGCCAGTAATATTTTTACTAGTTAACAGTTTAATTTATATTTTTTTCTCAGCTATTTTACCTTTAAGGAATACATTCCACATTCTCAAAGCTTTGTGCTTAGAATCATCAGTGGGGCACCATTCTAGTCCCTAGGTGCTTGGTTAAAAGCGCTGTTAAGATGTACATGTATATTTTTTTGCAACGTTGTTAGTAGTTAAATGAAAATCAAAATAAACCGATGGCTCTTGCTAAACGAAATATTTGCGGTATGCGTGGCTCTTAATGCAGTACTCTGTCCAGCTCTGCTAATATTAATGTGGGTGTAGAAAATAGTATATTACATAACAAGTGTGGAAAGAAATACACTTTCCAACGAGTTGTGTACACTATTTTTCCTACGACCACACACAAAATCCTTAAAAAAACGTCTTTTTTTAAATCAGAAAGTCAATTAAACCATATCACCCATGTACTGAAAAGTACATCACACATGTGTCGAAAAGAATATCAACACATGTGTTGAAAAGTAAAAAAATCCTCCAAAATATTTTTCATTTTGTAACAGTAGAAATGACAAGAGCTAATACAATGTTTAAAAAATATTTATAACTAAAGCAGAATAAGAACTAATATAACAATAAGATACATTTATAACTAAAGCAGAGATACTAACAGAATAATTTATAAAAATTTACATCTAAAGTTGATAATGGATAAAAAATATTTGTAACTAAACTAGAGATAACTAACATAATAATTAGGAAATGTTTGTAACTAAACTGTATGAACTGAATAATTATTAATAATTTTGTTTTACTTTTTTTCTAGGACGTTATAAAAGTTGAAAGTAAAATTGTTATTATAACATTTACTAAATTGCAGTGGATTTTGTAATGTTGCATTATTATTATTCTCAGTGGTTCTCCTAATATATGTGTTTATTGTCTCTTGTGGATCTACATTAATTTGTTGCTGTATAGATGAAGTACACAAACTTGCACTGTATCTGGGTTGTGTAGTATCAGCATTTTGTTCAGAGTATTGTTCAATATTTTTACATGCAACTTCTTCGTTGAATGTGCTTGTGCTGCGAATGGTGTTCATTATTTTATTAGCAGTCATTAATCTATTAGTTGCAGAGTCATCTATGTACTGCTCGGCCACGGTAGAGGATTTCCATCCACCGTGAAGCTTTTAAGATATGCTCCTGCATCTACCAAAATTGTTGCAGAAGAATGCCTAAAGGTGTGGCCAGTATATTATTCTGGATTCGGAAGATTTAAAAACTTTGCCAGTACCTTTGGCACAGTGCCTATTTTGTTTATACTCACTACTTGTTGGGTGCATTTTTTACCTTAGTTGAGTGGTTGGTGGCCTAAGATTGGCATATTTTTTAAATATGGTATAAAACGGTCCAGTAATCGTGAATTTTCTGGATACTTTGTTTTTTGTGTTATCTATTTTTATCACAGCTGCTGTACCCAATCCTCTATATCGTTTACAGTCAATTGTGTGAGCTCCTGCTTTCGGCATGCTCCTGATATTCCAAGGATAAGTGCAACCTTAAATAATAAAAAATACTCACACATTGAACAAAATAATAGATATTAAACTTGCTCACCTTTGTAAATAAATATAATTCATCTGGAGCTGTTTCTATGAAATTATTTATTTCTTGTTGCGATAGGACTTTGGCTT